AATTTAACATGTAAAATTGACGATTTCAATCATAGAAATGTAATGCAGTGAAATAAAAAGTTAGAGAATAACTAGTTACTTTTAAAGATTGAAGAATAATTTACTAATGCTCCAATAAGTTAGGGACCAATGCTGCAGTTTTCTCTATGAAATCATCAAAGCTGCCACCGACTAAGGAAGGATAGAATCATAGAATGAGAGGGAGAAAAGGTAAGAGCGGAAAATGGTGAAGAAAATGATGTACAATTGGAAGTATTGGTGGAGATCTCTTCACAACCACAATTACTTCATAATCAAATTGGGTGTTTCAGTTCTTTTAGTGGGTCTTGCATTTAGGATTCTCTACACTCGATCCACCGGATTTTCTCCTATTTCCGACAACCCATTTCTTGAAAATGCCCAGATTTCACCGCCCCCTGTTCTTCCTCTAATTTCTCAAGAAAATACAGATGGATTTCCTCCTGAAGGTCAGATGCTTTTGTTTCTAACTCCCTTTAGTTTTCCTTAATTTTAATGGGTTATCACTTTCATGTATGAGAAATTCAAGTGAGTTGGCTAAATATCGACGAACAAGAGGTTAATGCTGATTTAATAGTAGTAGTATGAGATCTGTAAAGATATAAGTTTTATATTGGTTTAGAGCATGTTTGGCTCAGATTAAAAAGTGAGTTGCTTTTGCTCATAAAATAAGTAAATAACTTCTTTTCAACTTCTAAGCATAGTGTTGATGGCATTATACAATGAGTTACGTTTGAGGCACCGGATTAGTCTGTATAAAGAACCTAGTATAAAATTAAAATGGATAGCATGGTTTTATAGTGGGGATTAAGGTGTGTAATATTCCTTTTATCTTTTAGTTAAAAACATGTCATTTGCACTATAAATAGTATAACATAATGCAGTGGTGAGGGTGAAGATGGTTTTATGCCGAATGAAATAAATTGTATACAATGTGTAAATCAAATTTTTGACCGTTATTTCACTATTTAGCCGTCATTCTTTACTTCTTTTCAAGTATGACTCACTTTTCTCTCTAACGGTAAAAAAATTAATTCTCAAAATCACTATCAAACAAGCCGTATTTGTCAAAAAAATACTATTCACCTTAATCCATGTAGTATCAGTGATTTCATACTTAATTCTATATACGGTCTAATATAGTGTACCAAACGCAACCTGATTGTCATGGTTATAGTAATGTAATCAGTCTGCATTTCAAATAAGAATTTCCACTTTTATTTAGTGCTGTATATAAGTTTATGATGGGTTTTTGTTCTGCTTAGATATGTTTATTGGCTTGTTTTGATTATCTAGCTCGTAGATTGATTTGCTGCTGAAATGTTGTCCATGTTATTTGTCATATTAAGACGTCACTGAATGATTGCCAATTTGGGTATGTATTTAAAATTGTTCACTGGTATGCTACAGAAGATGCTGGAAAGTGTAATGTATTTATCGGGGATTGGATTCCTTATCAGGGAGAACCCATCTACACAAATGAGAGTTGCGGCTTCATCGAAGACCACCAGAATTGTATGAAGAATGGACGGCCAGACACTGGGTATCTCCATTGGAGGTGGAATCCCCATGGTTGCAAGTTGGCTCGGTTTGATCCAGATAGGTTTCTGGAGTCAATGAGGAATAAAAGTTGGGCACTGATTGGCGATTCAATATCACGAAATCATATCCAGTCATTGCTTTGCATTCTTTCTGCGGTAAAATTGAAAAAAATTGCTATCATTCGTTCATTTCTGAAATCTGTCTTGTCTTAATAATTTTGCAAATGCTATGTACTTACCTCAAGGCAATAGCACGAGTTTCAGATAGTACAGAGTTACTTTCTGCTGTGTTTCTTTTGATACATTAATGCACCAAAATTATTTCTCGTCTGTGCCTTTTTTTTATTATTTTATTTTTGCTATCATCCTTGCCTAGAACTATTTTGACAACCAAGTTTTGTTGTTCGGTGCTTGAGCATATCTGGCTTACCTTTTACTTTCAGGGTGCAAGTATCAAACTTAGTTCTTACGTATAGCAGAATTGCCTAGGCTGCCAAATGAAATAAAAAAAAAGAAAAATCAAATTACAAGACTACTTTTGGAATTTATATTTCTCAAAGGGGAAACTAAAGAGAAGGATTTTAAGACCTTTTCCTATTGTGAGCATTATGTGGTTCACTTTGTAATTCATCTGATTTTTTTTGCATGTACTCCTGAACATGACTGGATTCGTGGTAATTTAAATTCCAATAACATATTATGTTGCAGTCAAAAATGCTATTCTGAACCCATATGCCATTGAAATTAAGCCATTTTTTGCCTGCAGACAGAAAAGGCTGTTGAAGTTTACCATGATGAGGGATACAAATCGAGAAGATGGATTTTCCCCACGTACAACTTCACCATATCAGTTATTTGGTCCCCTCTTCTTGCGAAAGCCTCCATTTTCGAAGACATGAATGGGGTTTCAACATCTGAGATTGAACTACATCTTGACATTATTGACATGAACTGGACTAAACAGTTTCAGAGCCTCGATTACATGATAATATCTAGTGGTAAATGGTTTGTGAAAAATGCAATCTACTATGAGAACAGCAAGATACTAGGTTGCCATAACTGTCCTAAGAGGAACTTCACAGAACTCGGGTTCAATTTTGCTTATCGCAAAGTCCTCCACAATGTTTTTGATTACATTACCAGGTCGAACCACAAGGGCATGATTTTTTTCCGGACCTCCACGCCCGATCACTTTGAGAATGGAGAATGGTTCAGCGGTGGGTCATGTAGAAGAACAGTGCCAGCAAAAGAAGGTGACTTCGGGTTAAGTGACGTGAACAAAGTTCTACGTGAAGTCGAATTAGAGGAATTCGAGAAGGCATCTGCTAAAGCTTCTCAAAACGGGGTAAACCTTAAACTTTTCGACGTATCTCCTCTTTCATTATTGCGACCGGATGGACACCCGGGTCCATATAGATTTTTTCAACCATTTGCCAAAGATAAGAATGCGAAAGTGATAAATGACTGCCTGCACTGGTGTCTGCCCGGCCCAATTGATTCTTGGAATGATCTGTTAATGGATATGGTGTTCAACAATTGAGAAAATGGAAATTTTAATCCTCCACCTGTAAATAATATAGAGCTCGTTCGTATTTGTCTTTGATTTTCGACATTTCTCACTTGGATTCGTATTCCTCGGCTAGTTTTTGTTATCAGAAGAGTTAAAATCTGTGGCATGCACAGTTATCCCCTTTATTGTGTTGTGCTGCATTTTATACTGTTTACTATGATACCACTATGGTCAGTAAATTCTATCATCTTTTCAATTTCTTAGAGCTTGTTTGGGAGTGATTTTTCATCCTAAAAAATTGATTTTTTGATCGTTATTTCACTATTCCAGTCGTAAAATTTGACTTTTTCTCTCACAGGTGACCCTTATTTTTCTCATAAAGATCACAAAATCAATTTTCAAAATCACTCCCAAACGCGGCTTTAATTCTGTAGCTTGGACCGATGGAAATTGATTTCATGGCAGTCAGTCAATTATCATTAGTAGTTATTGATTGAAATCAAATTGAAGTATGATTATACGATACAAATTACATTCAAGTAAATATTTAATTAAACAAGATTGAAGTAAAAGATCGTTAACTGATTTTTAAAAGCACTGATATCATCGCTTGGGGCTCCAATTTCCTGACAATTCGTTGAATGATTTTTAATGCACTTAATCGGTACTGTAATTACAGCCCAAGAAAGGGCAAAAATCCAACTCAACGCCTTTATTGCATTCTATTAAGCCCGTGTGAACCCAATATTTGGGTGTAATATATTTAGAAATAGTATTTTTTTGAAGAATGTGCGGATGAGAAGTAGAATTTTTGTTTTTAAAATTTACGTGTAAAATTATTTTATTGATAAAATGTCTAATTTAAATTGTTTAAAAAAAAAAAAAAAGAGTTTTGAAGAATGTGTCAAACAAGGTCAAGGAGAAATATTACATCATAATTTTACATGTTTCATTTTTTTTAAATATAACTGCTTAGTACTAATCTAAGTGTATATAGCCCTTGTTTGGGAGCGATTTTTTGCTCAAAAAAATTGATTTTTTGACTGTTATTTTATTATTTCAACCGTTATATTTGACTTCTTCTCTTATAGGTGGACTCAACTTTTCTTCTAACGATCAAAAAATTAATTCTCAAAATCACTCTCAAACAGGCTCATAATTGTTTAAATTAAAAAAATTAAATACATCCTAATTTCATCGAACAATTAAAGATAGACAGGTCCCCGCTGTCAAGATCTAACTAAACGGAAACTGCACCAATAACACTATTCTTTTTTCTTTTCAAATAGAATAATGATATGTATCACAATTTCATTGAAAAATTAATGAAGAATTTTCACTATCAACTAGATTGGCACCGTTACTTGAACTGTTAATATCTAGCTCATGTGATTCATATTTTAGGAAAAAAAATGTATTATTCATGTCAAATCAATGGGAAGTAAGTGGTTAAAAAATAAGAAAAATTTTTAGATTAGCGTATAATATTATTTTATTGAATAATGTGTTATTGAAATAATATCAAATCACTGTTAAAATAAATATATATATTTTAAAGAATAATACTATTTGCAATCACTCACTACAGCGGTCGTCTTACGTGACATACACATGATATATGGTTATTTGATACATTAATGAATAAAAAAACTACCACATTAATGTATCAAATAATTATCTGTCATGTGTATACCACGTAGGACAATTGTCGTAGTGAACGACTACGAATAACATTACTCTATTTTAAAATAACGTGACTCAAACAGGCCCTACTTGAATTGAGTAATGTTAGATGATAAATTGATCGTCACATACCACTTGGCATTATTCATTTGAATTTTGAGGCAGAATTTGAATAATCCAACAATGGTCAAAGTCTGCCCGCTCCACACCTTATTTCAAGTTTTCATTTATAAAAAGGAGGAGCGTCGTAATCCAACTTGCACAGCCCACCGTTTTGCGTACTCTTGTGAGTGCAAGTCTCCTCTTTCTCTCTCATCCAAGTGCAGGAAATGCACTCCCAAGAAAGACTGGAGGTTTTGTTGTGGAAACCAGGTAACCCATCCCTAATTCATCCACTAATTTGGATTTCGCTTCACAACTGCCACCACCACTGCCTAATTTAAATTATTTATTGCTTTAGTAAAAAAATGAAATAGTTACGTGGTTAGATGATGTGATTATAAACAGGGTCAATTCCCTTAACCGCATGCTTGTTGGATATTGTAAGCCAATTTGAAATATTTCTCTTTTTTTCTATTTTTAATTTTCAAGTGATGTAACGTTGGCGTGGCATCAATTTGTGCGATCCATAGGTGCTACGCAACCATTCGATCCACTGCAGTCTGCACAATTCGAGACTGTTAGGTCTAAACTTTCTTATAAATTTATGGACTAAATAGATCTGCAGACTTGTGATGGGCTAGCTCATGAATTGAATTTTAACGAGATGAGTAAAAGTTTGAGGTTCGATTTCCTTTGATTTAAATACTATATAAACATTTCAACGCAAGGTGGCAATTGATCCCACTAAAAATTTCTTTCAATAAATTCTAGCATTCGATACTTTGTCTGTAGCACTGAGAATGATAGATAGCAATGGGATGCGGTCCACTGCTATCGAATGTATTTTTCTTTCTTATTTATTAATAAACTTTACTGCTAAATTTAAGTAGTATTGCACAACCAGAAGATAGAGGAATTACGAGTTTAGGTGGCGAAAATTATTAATTTTATTTTAACAGTTATTACCATAAATAGATAACATTATGGTTGGAGGTTGCGTGCATAATGCTATATATCTACTAAAGTTATAGAAAAAGTCAATCTCGCAATAATTCTGAACCTGAATTGAAGCTAACGTCCAAAAACATACTTGATATACGCTTTGTATGTATCGTTGTTGCTTATACGGATCAATGGACAAGGCATAGCTTGATTTTCGCCGTCTACAAAAAATCCTGTTTTTCTGTTTGCCTCGCTCGTCTTTTTTCTTCGCTCTACATACATTTGGATGTGCTGAATTTATTAATGGCAGAGGCTGCACCAAAACCAAATGTATCGTTACGAAATAATCGTCAGGACGAAGATGCCGGAGCAGCTTTTGTATTGGAGTCTAAAGGTGAGATTTTTTTATTTTTATTTTTTTTTTATTTCGATCAATTTAAAGTCAAATTCTGAATTATGTAGGGTAAAAAAGGCAGTTAATTTAACTTTAAAACGTAGAAATGCATAAATAATACTGTGATAAAGATTAATTTGGATTCCTGTAGTAAAGGTACTTACGGAGAAGTTTTGGATGGATTTATAAACTGTAGGAAAATGGTGGCATGCGGGGTTTCATTTGACGACGGCGATAGTGGGGCCCTCAATACTGAGCTTGCCGTATGCATTCCGGGGATTGGGATGGGGACTAGGGTTCTTTTGCTTAACGGTGATGGGAGTTGTGACTTTTTACTCCTACTATCTAATGTCATTGGTGCTTGACCATTGTGAGAAGGCTGGGCGCCGCCACATACGATTCCGGGAACTTGCTGCCGATGTATTGGGTAGGTAATTGTTCACGTTAATAACACATGATGTTGATATTTTTCTAATCTATTTCTTCCCTTTCCTACCCCACACCTTCATGTGTAACAATTCTAATAAATATGAGAAAGAAATGGCGTGATTGTATCATTTTCTTTCATGTCCATCGCTATCAAGGAGTGAGCTTCTCAATGGAGGCTAGACAATGAACCAGTTATCTGTGGAATTTGACAAGGGAAAAATTCTTATGAGTTTATGCACGTTTAGTTATGCTTAAAAGTTACTTATGACGACTTTTTTGTCACATGTTATAAGCTGTTTAAGAATTTATAATTTTTTATGCGAATTTTAGTTTAGAAAGTACTTTTACCTTTTTTAAGCTTTAAACAAACACGCTCTTCATGTCATGTGAAATCAGATCTGTTTAAAGGATATCGTGTTTTCATTACAATAAGACTAATGTATTTTAAAGAGAAAAGAAATAATTAAACTCCTGCATGCTGTTCGTTTCATTTGTAAATCTATGGTTTTTGTGGTGCTCAAAAAATGGTGAGTAGATTGCTGTGATAAGAAAAATCAATTGTCAAAAGATGTGGAGGAGACCGAGATAGTAAATTTTGGTATTATTGTAAAATGTCTTGGTATCAAATTATTGATCAAGAATGATTAAATGAGAAAAAGTCAATTATGCTCTTTACCTTTCCTCAGAGAACCATCGTTATCTATTAGAAGGAGGTTCTACTAAAGCATGTGCTTTTTCAACCATTTGAATTCTTGTTTCTCACCTGTGTGAAATAAAGAATTGATGCAGTTGCTCGAGCACAAAAATTCAAAGGATAATGCCACCATAAGGTCTGAAAGAAGTGAAAATTTGAAATTATGGAAAAGTTCTAGCTCACCATATGACTACCTTTCTTAAAGAATGTCCTTTAATTATTCTGTTTCTCTTTTTAAGTGTTCAATCTTCTTTTCAATTTCTTTTTCCTTTTACATTTTTGTTTGAGATAAGGGTGTTAATATATTCGTGGACTTTAATTACAGTGCACATCTAGTTTCCTTCTGCACATAGTTTGTTTAGTGAGAAGTTTAAGGTTCAATTTCTTCGTCCTTTGTCAAAATTGCAGGTGCTAACACTACACTGTGTGTAAACTGTGGATTTAAAGATCTCCTGAACAGTGCTCTCTGCATTTTATTGTAAACATACAGATATCAGCTCATGACACGCTAGCCATAAATCCTTGGAAATAGCATTTTTGCTAGCAAAATATTTAAAAACAAGAAGAGGCCAGAATAAAAACAAGTATGCTGAATTTTTCTATGCAAACCCCTCTTTTTCTGAGTTTTTGCTTTTATTTCTAATAGGGTCTGGCTGGATGTTCTATTTTGTGATATTCATTCAGACAGCAATCAACACGGGTATCAGCATAGGAGCTATTCTGCTTGCAGGAGAATGCCTCCAGGTATAGCATTATAGTTACCTAATTTCTTCTTGTAGTGGACAGATGATTCCAATAAAATGATCTGTTTATAGCTTACAGTGAATAGCTTTAGACATAAAATGTTCTGGAAGCAGGATGTTCTCTAAAGCATAATTTTTGACAGCCTAATGCATACTTGAAAGTGCAACATAAGGCCGGGAGGCCTGAGAAAATTAAAGAAAATATATTTTTATATTTTCCACTATCCCTTGTTTCCAAATTCAGAAGATGTAATTTTCCTTTTAAAATGATGTGAGGGGAATAAATTTTCACAATCACACATGTTTAGAGGCTACTTAGCTTTATCTTTCACTTTAGCTTTTATGGAGTTCAAGGCAAACTGCTGCGAAATTATCAACCATTTGAAAATTTCAGTTTTGTTTTTCTTCATTTTGAAATCATCTTCACTTCTTTGGCTGGTGCAGATTATGTATTCGAACCTTTCTCCAAGTGGTTCACTGAAATTGTATCACTTCATAGCAATGGTGACTGCAGTTATGATAGCTCTCTCTCAGTTTCCAACTTTCCATTCCCTCCGGCACATTAACCTCGTGTCTCTTCTTCTCAGTTTGGGTTATACATTCCTTGTGGTTGGTGCTTGTATTCGTGCGGGTAAACCTCCTTCCACTGCTTTTTATCCTACCAAACTGCATTATATATAATTAATTTTTGAATAGTTTGAGAGAGTAAGCAACAAAGCGGAGATTCTGGTCTTCAATGTACTACCAAGACTATCAAATTTTTGTTGAAGCAATGACGAGTAACTAAACTTCCTTTATTTATTTGAAGTCTGTTAGCCATATACAGTAGCTTGAATTATAAGATATTACTGTCAAAATGTGTATATTCTATAATTATATTTCGTAAAAAAGGCTAATTTAGTTCTTACCATGCTTAGGTAGCAAACTTAATGTAATTATTGTAATTCTTAGCTTTATAAGAGAAGGGAATCCCTCGATTGAAGGGCAGCTTGAACCACTTTGACATGGTATCAGAGCCAGCCCTTTAGATTTTCCCTTCGAATCTTCGGTTTTATTTGTTGGGCTAAGGTCATTTAACATTATCTTTGGTTTTATTTGTTGAACCACTTTGGTCTATTGATATTATCTTTTGTTTTATTTGTTGGGCTAAGGTCATTTAACATTTGGATTAGGCTTCAGTTTGTAGAGTTGGACTTGAAAACATATTTTTTGGACTTGATTTGATAATTCACTTAATCATGTTGGGAGAAAATTCTATTATTTGCTTTAATGGAAAAAATTATCCCAATTGGGAATTTCAATTCAAGATGTTTGTGAAAGGGAAAGAATTATGGGGTCATTTGGAAAGAATTATGGGGTCATTTGGATGGGTCTTCTAAGGCTCCGACTGATATCAAAGAACTTAGTCCATGGGAAGGATGCAAAGATTGTTTCTTAGCTGCTGAGTTCTGTTGAACCACATGTGGTCAACAATCTCCATTCATTCACTACGGCTAAAGAAATGTGGTACTACCTCAGGCGTGTCTACCATCAAGACAACTTTGCTCGAAAATTCCAATTGCAGTTAGAAATTGCTCACTATAAATAGGGTAATCTCTCTATTGATCAATTCAATGCTAGATTCCTTAATTTGTGGAGTGAATATTCCTGAATAGTTAATTCCAAAGTTCCCAAGGAAGCTTTAGCTGCACCACAAGTTGTCCATGTTGAAAGTCAAAGAGAATATTTTTTGATGAAGTTGAGACCGGAATTTGAGACTACAAGGGCTAGTTTACTGAACTGTACTCCTGTTCCCTCCTTGGATGTATGCTTGGGAGAATTATTACGTGAAGAACGTCTTGCCACTCAACTCAACATAACCCAAGAAACAGTTACTACTGAGATGGTTAATGTGGCGTACGCTGTTCAAGGAAAAGGAAAATCTATATCTGTAAAGAACTGTAGTAAGAAATTCTGTAACTATTGTAAAAAGGATGGGCATATCAATAAAGATTGTCGCATGCGACCTCAGAATAGACAAGGTCAGACCTTTCACTTTGCTATTCAGTCCAATTTGGCTGTTGTCTCCTCTGTTCCACTCCAACTGCTTCTTCATCCACTCTTACACCTGAAATGGTCCAATGGATGATTATTTTCGCATTTTCTGCTCTTGGCCTTCAAGGTAAGAAAAATCTACTTGCTTCTCCTTGGTTGGTTGATTCTGCAGTCTCAAATCATATGATAGGTATTATAGAGGCTTTACATGATATTTGTAAATATAAAGGCGATAAACATATTCAAATTGCCAATGGGAGTGCTCTTCCTATCACAGAAATTGGAATTTTGGGATCTTCTTCACCGATGTCTTTGTGTCACCTGAATTATCTACAAATTTAATTTATGTTGGACAATTGGTAGATGATAACTATGAAATTCGTTTTAATCGGAGTGGTTGTTGTGTGTAGGATCAAGTGTTGGGGAAAGTTTTGGCGAAGGGGCTTAAAGTGGACACTTATTTCCTCTTCAATTTTCCATTTCTTATTTATTTGCTTGTACTGCTATTGCTAATAATAGTAAAGTTTGGAATAAGAAATTGGGACATCACAATTCTAATATTTTGACTCATCTTTTAAAGAATGGTTATTTGGGCAATAAAAATTCATTCACTCATATGTCTTTTGATTGCAATTCTTGTAAACTTGGTAAAAGCAAATCCTTACACATGTTAGTCGTGCTTCCACATGTTTTGAGATTATTCATACCGATGTATGGGGTGTAAGTCCTATAAATTTTCATGCTTAGTATAAATATTTTGTAATATTTATTGATGATTATAGTCGTTTCACTTGGGTCTATTTCCTTTGTTCTAAAAATGAGGCATTCTCCATCTTTCAGAACTTCGTTGCCTTTGTTGAGAACCAATTTTTTACTAGTATTAAGATACTCCGTTCTGACTCCGGAGGGGAATATATGTCCAATGATTTTTAGGAATATCTCAAAACAAAAGGGATTCTCTCCCAATGATCTTGTTTTTACACACTTAATAGAACGGAGTTGTTGAGTGTAAAAATCATCATCTTTTGGACGTTCGAACTTTGTTGATTGAATCTTCCATACTTTCTAGATTTTGGGTCGAAACTTTATCAACGACTGTTTATTTAATTCTCCGTATTCTTGATTGTTTAATGTTGTGCCTGAATATGATTCACTCCATATATTTGGCTGTCTGTTTTGTTCACTTACCTTCCACTGAACGTTACAAGCTTTCTGTTCAGGCTGCTTGATGTGCATTCCTTGGGTATAGTAATGCACATAAAGGGTTTATGTGTTATGATGTGGATGCTAACAAAATTCGTATCTCTCGAAATGTAGTTTTCTTTGACAACCAATACTTCTTCCAATCTCTTGTCTTTCATGATTCTGCCTCTATTCAGCTTCCTGAATTCGATGATATGTCTAATACTGTTGAATGCTTTAAGCCCGGATTTGTTTATCAGAGACGTCCTCCGCTGCCTCCTTCAGACATTGAACCGTCGCTTGATCTCATCATCACTGAACCTCAACGATCTTCTCGAGTCTCATGCCCTACAGATAAGTATGGATTTTCACATATTGCTAATCAGGCTACCCTTGATACTACTTTTGTGCTCAAATCTTACTCTCAGGCTTCTATTCATGCTTGTCGGAAAGCTATGCAGGAAGAACTTCAGGCACTCCAGAATAATCATACTTAGGACATCGTTCCATGTTCTGAAGGAGTAAAACTTCTTGGATGCAAATGGGTTTATACCATTAAACTTCGGCCTGATGGTACTTTAGAAAGGTATAAGGCTCTTTTGGTGGCTCTTGGGAACTGTCGGGAATATGGTCTTGATTATGAGGAAACCTTTGCACCTGTTGCAAAGATGACCACCGTGAGGACTATTATGGCTATTGCCGCATGTAAAGGATGGTCTTTTCGGCAGATGGATATGAAGAATGCATTCTTACATGGTGATTTGAAGGAGGAAATATATATGAGTCCTTCTCCTGGCATGTTTCGGTTGAAGCGATATTTATATGGATTAAATCAGGCACCCCGCTCATGGTTTGAAAAGTTTTGTACCACTCTGCTTGATTTTCAGTTCACTCAGAGTCAATTTGATTCATCCCTATTTCTTAAAAGCACTACCTTTGGCCTTGTTGTGCTTTTAGTCTATGTGGATGATATTGTGATCACACGGTCTGACACTCAGTCGATTGTACAACTTCAGTATCATCTTTACACTACTTTTCATATGAAAGATCTTGGTTCTTTACAGTATTTTCTTGGTCTTGAGGTGCATTCCTGTCCTAATGGTCTCTATCTACATCAACACGAGTATACCCAAGAGATAATCACCTCAGTTGGTCTTCAATCTGGAAATTCTGTACTTACAACTCTGGAGGTAAATGTTAAGCTTAGCCAAGATGAAGGGGAACTTTTACGTGATCCATCTCTATATTGATAGCTTGTAGGAAGTTTGAACAATTTGACAATTACTTGGCCTGACATTTCATTTGCTGTACAGCAGACCAGCCAGTTTATGTAGGCTACATGCTAATCTCACTTAGCAGCTGTACGAAGAATTCGTCGTTACCTCAAGGGTACATATGGTTGAGGTTTATTTTTCTCTATCGAGAATTCTTTACAGTTAAAAGGTTATAATGGTATTGATTGGGCTGGTTGTGTGGACACTCGATGTTCAGTTACTGGTTGGTGCATGTTTCTTAGTTATGCACTTATTTCTTGAAAGAGTAAAAAGCGGGATTGAGTCTCGAAATCCTTTACTGAATCTGAGTATCGTGCTATGTCATCTGCGGTTCAGAGATTATATGGCTTCGAGGTTTGTTAGGAGAACTTGGTATCCCTCAACTTGCATCCACTCCGCTTTATGCTAATAACACCAGTGCTATTCAGATTGCTGCAAATCCAGTATTTCATGAACGCATCAAGCATATTGAAGTAGATTGTTATTCTATCGGTGAAGCCCTTGATCAACATGTGATTGCACTTCCCCACATTTCTACCGAACACCAAATTGCTGATGTTTTTACAAAGGCTCTATCTCGTCATTGTCATCAATTCATGATTGGCAAATTGATGCTTATTGATCGACCAACATCAATTTGAGGGGGGATGTTAGCCATATATAGCAGCTTGAATTATGGGATATTACTGTCAAAATCTGTATATTCTATAATTATATTCCGTAAAAACGGCTAATTTAGTTCTTACCATGCTTAGGTAGCAAACTTACTATAATTCTTGACTTTATAAGAGAAGGAAATCCCTCGATTGAAAGGCAACTTGAGCCACTTTGACAAAGTCAAGCATCATCAGTGATTTGATGAGAATTTAGCTTCAAAAGAAATTTTCGTGTTCAAATATTTCATTTTAACATCACTTGATTACCATGACTTAATCAGCATTTGATTTTGGTTAGTGATCTTATAGGTACCTCTGAAAATGCACCTCCAAGGGACTATTCTTTAGAGTCTTCGGAATCAACAAGGGTGTTCAATGCGTTTACTTCCATATCCATAATAGCTGCCATTTTCGGGAATGGGATTCTACCCGAAATACAAGTAATTACGTCTCTCTTGTTGAATTTTGCCTTCACAATATTATGTTATGCTTGGCTTTTCATATGGATTTTCATTGTGTTTGCTAGAACAATTACACAAATCTTAATAGAGTTTAAATTGGTGAATGAGAGAGTAAAAGGAGTATTAGCAAAGGGACCCATTTACAGTTGCGGCTGTTTCAGGCAAGTAATAGTTGTATCACATGATCTAATTGTCCCTTATGTGTGTGGGAGGGATGTTGGGATATAAGAGGAATAAATAAGAAACTAAGAAGAAATTTGATGATAAAAAGTATAATAACTAAAAAAGAGGTGACATGCACTTAGCAAATGGATATAATACTTTTGGGAGGACCTAAAGTATTTTAATGAGTTCACTTGGATTTTTATCCATGGGGCTTTTGGTATCTATTTTTCGAAATGCAGTATATTCTGGCACATATCGATCTGAGTCATTATACGTATTTGTTAAGATCAGAAGCAACCTGAGGGCTAAGATTGCAAAACGCCAAAACCCCCCTAACCAATAACCCATTAATGTAGCTGAAACCATATTTTTCCAACATAGAAGGTATTATTGGTGTAAAGATCAAGGATGATCAGTAACATCTAACAATGCAGCTCATACAACTGGATTTTTCATTCTATGTGTGCTATACGATTATTTTCCAAATATTTCCTTCTCAATCAATACAGGCAACTCTTGCTCCACCAGCTACCGGGAAGATGGTGAAAGGATTATCGATGTGTTACACAGTAATTTTCTTCACGTTCTACTCTGCTGCAGTTTCTGGATACTGGGTTTTTGGGAATAAATCTAATTCAATTATACTCAAAAGCTTAATGCCTGACGAGGGACCTTCCTTGGCTCCTGTACCTGTTTTAGGTCTCGCTGTTATATTCGTTCTCCTCCAACTTTTGGCCATTGGCCTGGTAAAAATAAATGCAATTACCCTCTTGATTTCTTTACCGCATCGTACTGATTTCCATATTTCTGTACTTCAGACGTTTCTGTAAATTTCGTAACCATGCAGATTTATTCTCAAGTAGCTTATGAGATAATGGAAAAGAAATCGGCTGATGTGAACCAGGGGATTTTCTCGAAAAGAAACCTGATCCCGAGGATTATCCTTCGCTCATTATACGTGTTATTCTGTGGATTTTTCGCAGCGATGCTGCCTTTCTTTGGTGACATCAATGGGGTCGTGGGAGCTGTTGGATTCATCCCTCTCGACTTTATTCTCCCAATGCTTCTCTATAACATGACTTACAAACCATCAAAATCATCCATCAGATATTGGATCAACACCTCTATTATGATAGTCTTTACTGGAGCTGGATTAATGGGAGCCTTTTCTTCCACAAGGAAACTGGTTCTTGATGCTAAAGAGTTCAAACTTTTTAGCAGTGATGTTGTTGATTGATTTACACTTGGAGCATATTTTTACACATAGTTTATGATTTTAAGCGGTCAGGGAGGAGACAAGCGTTTTCTCGCATGCATGCTAGATCCAAGTTTTCATTCACATGTACAACTTTCATAAATGAGCTAACGTTGGATGAGACAAATGCTCTAGAAAGAGTAACATTTCATGTATATGTTAACAGTGTTGTGTCAAAATAGGAAGCACAAATCTTTTTCCACTACCAAATATATAGTTCAAATTTAGAGGGTGTTTGGGAGTCATTTTTAAGTAAAAATGCATTTTGGAATAATAAATTGATGAGAAATGTGTGGTAGAAAAATAAGAAAAAAAGTTCATTTATGTATAATATTATTTTAATGAAGAATGCGTGATTAAAAATAAGAGAGAAAAATGCATTTTGAAAAAAATGAGTGTCAAACGGGGATTTAAATTGTAATATGAGAATTGCTCTATTCTCTTATTTTATGCTTCCGTTTTTAAATAGCCCCATGGGTGCGTATACCCTTCTGAACCAAAATCATTGGCATGACAACTCCTAGAATAGCTTTACCATCAGTATGATGAATATTACAGTGTAATGGATCATAGCTTAATAAGAAAGATTGAGAGTGACTTTCAATTTTAGCCCTTGTTTGAGCCTCATTTTGAGGTGAAAAAATGAATTTTTGAATAGTGTATTGATAGAAAATGCGTGGTAAAAAAATAAGGAGAAGTTTTAAATTTGTGTGTAATATTATTTTACTAAAAATGTATGGTTGAAATGATGTTAAAATATTGTAGAAGAATTTATTTTTTCTAAAGAATGAAGATCAAACAAGGACTTAATTACAAGACTTTGGGTTTAATAAAATAAAACCTTGATTAAACCAAATTTGGACCATTTGAAGCTGTCAAAGCGGCCGTGACGGCCCAATCCATCTTGTCCTTAAAGAGACATAACTCTGAAAAAAATAGTAACACGCAATAAAATTTATTAGTTATACGATTCAATAAAACATAAATTATAATTGCACGAACTACTTGCATCCAAGTTGTCATCCTCCTTAATTTCATGCCATTATTGGGATCAATTTGTCTCTCTAAGTTTTTGTGGGAAGCATCCCTTCCTTTTTGTATTAATTATAAGAGTTAAATAGCAAAACAAAAACAAAAATTTAGCATTCAAACAACTGTTACCATCTCATTTCATCACACGCTTCATTAAATCGCACTTCAAAACTACCTAGTTATTCCAGGAAAAATATATGCCTGTGGAACAAGAAATTAAATAGATTAATTAATTATTTTATCCATTTAAACTGTTGCTTCCTATCATCACTTATAAACTGTTTATGTAATTGGAAGTAACAAATCTTTGGTATCAATCTCGATTAATACCGTCAAAGAAATAAGTCGAGAACTCACTATAAACTTCTTGACTTGAATTCACATGGTATACTAGAAAAACTATGTTGTAGTTTCATGACTCAGTTTACATAATGATTAATATGAATAATGATTCCTGAGACATGAAATTGAACTCCCTGTAGGCGCAGTGTACAGTTAGCTTTTGTTCCCTGACATGCTCGGGCACATCTCGCGATTTACTTCCCTCACAAAGCTCTAGAGAAGGAGCATTAGGGGCCCTCAAGGTTGGGGTTCAACCCTTTTTATTTTTATTATTTTTTATTATTTTTATTTTAATATGGATAGATATCGGTATAAAATGTCAAAATGACAAGAAAGAAGTTGGTACAAATTACAAAAAAAGGTCAAAACTCAAAACTAAACCGGCAACATATATTTGGTCGACATATAATTTATTTATTATTATTAAACCAACCCCCACCCTCCCAAAAAAAAAAAAAAAAATTGTGCCTAATTTGCCAAGGTCTAAATTGGTGGTTCAAGTACTTTATAGCCTATATTTATTCAAACATCAAATAATCAGGGTTCTGATTTTTCTTACAAGCAAAGTAAGATCATGTGAACCTTTTAATTGGAAACTATCAAACTCCCACGGGAAGAGAGTGAGTCAACTCAACACATTATATTGTGGTCTACAATTAAACAAATTGGTAATGCGATCCTTTCGTCATTAATTACTTTTGATTGGTAACTTTCGTCCCCCTTCTCACTTGTCATTAATTTTAATTAAATTATTATATCAATTTTTTTAAATGACGTATTGGGTGGTCTAAAGTTTCTCAAGACTAACTCAAGAGACGAGACATTCTATTACATTTATAAAACGACTACTAACCCTTTTCGTAGTCGATATGGAATAACTTCTACAATTTTACGTTCACACATCGGGCCTGTTGGATCGAGACTTCTTGATAACTTGGGCTCTAGTACTAATATTGGGTGGTCTTGAACCTTTTCAATCCCAAAAGTTAGATCAAAACGTGATACTTTCCCTCATACTTCAAAATCGACCACCAACCCTTTCTACAACGAATATGGGATAACGTTCTCATGCAAACAATAATAAACTAATATTTATTCTCAATGATTTTGAGGGTGACTGTACAAATTATTTAGCGATGATCTGTATTACATAAAATAACAAGCGGTGTTAGAAATTATATTTTTTTATTCAAATAGTTTTTCAAAGAAAGTGATGACATGATATGACCATATCATCACCCTCTCATAAAACGCCACCGTTTTACCCCTTGAAAGTTTACCCGTAATACCTCACCACCAGGCACCAGGTCGGTATATATTATGGCGACTTTGGACTTTTATCCTTTCTGATTCAAACAAAAACACCTTAACGAAACTTGCTCCACTCTCGATCTTCATTGAAATTTCACCTTTGCACGGTCTGAGTCGCGTCTGTCTACTTCGACCCCTCCCATAGATAGATACTGTCTCTACTCGGGAAAATGCAGAAAACGGAAGAATTAAGGCTGAAAGAAAATCGGTCAGAGATTACAAAGGGCCCTCCGATTTGGGATTGTGGAAGCTCGCTGTATGATTCCTTTGAGAGGAAAGCGTTTGAAAAGCAACTCGATTCCGCCATATCTTCAAGGACTCTCTCGATGCCTCATTTATCCGATCGCCGCCTTCAACCGCCGCCGCCGCCAGGCCAGCAAATTTCGAACAAAAAACCATCGAAGTTGTCGCGGTCTTTTCAAAAGCTACTCCGATCTGTTTTCAGACAGAAGCAGAATAAATCAGGCGAAGGATTTTATGTTGCTTATGATACGTCCAGTACACTTTCCACGATTCCAGAGGCACCGGAGTTTGATGGAATTTCGCCGGAAATTAGGTCTTTGGTAAGAAGAACGGCCTCCGACAGATTCACGGCGACTTCTATTGAGATTTATTGTGTCTGATGACGCATACAAGTTGATATCTTTGTAAATTTTAATGGCAATATACTAATATGTGCAGTATTAGGCATTTCTGGTATGTTCTGAACGAAGATGAACAGTATCTTATTTAGTATTGTGTACTATACATAAAAAAAAAAAAAAAAAAAAAAGGGTTGATACCCAACCTTGAGAGCCCCTAATCGTTCCGTCCCTAGAACTTTGTGCTTAAGGTAAATCGCGGAATGTGCTTTTGCAGGCAAGAAAATAAAAGTTGTCTGTACACTAAATTTATAAGGAGTTCAATTTCATATTTCAAGAATCGAACTCTTACATTACGACTACAAATATGACATATTATCAGTGCATGTAGTCTCAAATAATATTGGATCTTGACTGTTATTCAATTCTATGTTATCCATCTTTCCAACACGTATGTTAGAATAGTTTAATGAATAAGATTTTTAATTTAATATTTTATGAATCAAATGTTTTTGGTTTAGAGATTTGAAATTTTGACAAGTACTAGTGAAGGCACGTGCGTAGCACGTGTTGGTGGGTGATATAGTGTAAGTAATAGTGTTAGAATTTGGTTATGTAGTATTTGAATGAAGAGTGAAACTTGTTTTGAATGATGATTACATTGGTTTATATAAAATATTTGTTCACGGGTACTTACATTGGGGGTAGTAATATGCAGCAATTATAAGCCATACTTGGTTATAGAGGTATTAACATGTTAATATGTACAATGAACAAAATATAGTACGACAAGTAGAGATGTTGGGAGTGAGGTGCGTTGATCTGTGGGCATAAATATACATGGGCTCAGCTCATAACCTTGTAGCTATTCGAACATAAAGCTAATAGTAAAAACTTGCTTGGTTGGGATCTCAGAAAGTACTATTATTATTTATTTTTATTTTTTTGAGATATTTAGTAGAAGATGATATAGAAGAACGACATACCCCAATAGATATAAAACTATAGGTACATCCTGATTCTTGAGTAGCTACAGTTTTGTGAATAAATTTATAAATAAAGGTGCAAGAGGCTTTATAAACTTCAGATGATTATCTGACCAGAAACATGAAGTTTGCCATGTCCATAAATTTTTTTATGGATTAGCGATGTAATGTACATCTGCATTAGATTTTTCTTCCTTTCTCGTATTCTGTAGTCTTCTTTCTCTCTCTCTCAAAATGGGGCTCTTTTGCTTTTAGTTTATGGGATAGGGACCTCAATGAGGCAGCCAGATGATCATTACGATGTGCTGAAACTAATTTAAGTAGTCTCATGTGCCGAAATTGACAAGGGAGCGAATACAGAATGAAAGTTCATATATACAAATGATTTAAGAAGTTTGTATAAGATTCTCATCAACTATGGTAATAATATGCCTTGTTAACCAATGCAACATATGGACAAATCAGATGGAAAGGCAGTATGCCAAATTTCCAGCTATGGTAGTAGAACATCATGTTTCAGAATCTATGTAATAAAGGCTTAAATACCAACAGCTCATTTATATTGGCAACTTAGTTAGTAGATGATTGTAATGCATATTTAATTGATAACCACAATAGGATGCAGGGCTAGTTAGACAAGCTAGGAAAATCGGGCTGTTAAATTTTATAATTTCAAAGCTTTAAATAAAAACGTGCCCAACATTCAAACTTTGGAAAGGAATCTAAAATACAATAAATAAATAAAATTCTATTGAAAAGAGAGAAAACTGTTCAAAGGAATGACGAATCAAAATCCAAGCATTTCTATTGACGTCTATTTGTTCTAAGAAGAATGATTGACATATCCCTTTCACCCATTCTGTTTCTCCCTTCTTTCTTTTTCATTGTCGTCCACAGCACCAATTTGAATCCCTCAGAGAGAGGAAATCATCCCTAAAAGCAGAAGAAGAGAGGGAAGGAAAATTTTTCATATCAAGGTCAGTGATATGAAAGCAGAAGTACGAAGGATAAAAACTTGGTCAGATACTTTATTTTTTTATCACACAAACTATTTTGGTCGATTAAATAAAGAATTAAGCAATCTAGGGGGAAAAACCAATTAAACAAACAAAACCAGTCTGTAGTTTGAAATGAAAAGGTAGTTATTTTCATAATTAGAATCATATGAGAAGTCGGTATATACCTGCGGGCAATTAGAAACCAAAAAATAACAATCATGATTGGCTAAACAAATTATTATGCAAGTAAACTGAACACAAGACAGAAGTGCATATATCAAATGATGGCAAGTGCTTTACTCATATCATGTCCCCGATCTTTCTTCCTCTTCGATGTCCCAGTCCAATTTCAGCAACTACTATATAACATAACAAAGCAAAATCAGTTGTTTCCCTAGAAAGCACTAAAATTAAGCAAAAGGATTAACAAAAGTGTGATGTATTTCAAGCGTTATGCTTCAAAACAAAAAATTACCTGATAACCCTTACTATGCTTTGTACTTCAGAACTCCCAGACAAATTTTTGTCATCCATGAATAGGCTGCCATTGACAAATATTAGAACACAAAAATACCTTATCTTGGTGCAAAGGACAAAATGATTACTTGTATATTTGTCAATGTTCTCTTTTCTGCCTCAAGACGATGATATAGAATGAAGACAAATTGTTTGACCTAAAAACCCAAATAAGCCTTATTGTCGACAAATTGAGGTCGAGAAAAATATTTGTTTTTCACCACTCAGCTCGACCTACAACTGTGTAAAGAAAAATCAAATGAAACAAAATTGAAAATCCTTTAACAAAGATGTTATACAATCATTCTACTTACATAAAAAGGTTGTAGTTGGCAAATGAAGTTATGATGATCTCTAAAAATTACTACATATGATGCTCTCGATAACTGGATGAGAAAATTAGTAATTGATGTTGATGTTCCCATTCTCTTAAGCTTCTCTATTTCAATTAGTTAAAAAAATTTCAGAGTACATTTTGAGAATCCCAATTTGTCAACAACGGACATCATATATAACAATATGAACGTCTCCACATTTGTCCCACCAGATACAAAGGCCAGCAAAGCCATTCATCTGGTGGCATGCATGCCTGGATTCTGGTTCAGAACCTGCTTTTGGGAATTTGATAATGCAGCAACAAAATTACTTTTCAATTGTGCCATCATCCCTGTCCTTGAAGAATTAACTGCAGCTGAACGACTTGAAACATGATCTGAAGCTGCATTGGATTCTAGATTATACCCAATACCTAGTCCAAAATCCATGTCTCGCACACCTTGGTTACTAACTCCCCTCCCTTTAGCTCTTTCAGGCCTTCTGCACCTGTAAATAATATTGAACATCCCTTTAGCTCTTTCAGGCCTTCTGCACCTGTAAATAATATTGAACATTCAATGAGGAAGCAACATATGTTTAAAAAACTCTCCAACAGAAATAAAATATAAAACATAATATAAAGATTAAAGACTAATGTAATTTTATTTCCTCTGAGGTCACTCCTCATCATAATGGAAAACCCCCCTCAATAAATATTATGGAGGAGAAAAACACAAAATTATTCAGATGAATGATGCATTAAGAATCTCAATTATATCATCAAGCCCTCGTTCTTTGCTTCATTTTCCTTGGAATCAAAAATTTATTAAGCATGCAATCAATCATTAATTCAAAAAAAAAAAAAACTGAAATTAGAAGTACAATCATGGACATACACAAATATATACGAATGATTATTAACAATAAGGAGTATAAAGATCAGGAAATGAAGGATACCTAGATCTGGTTTGAAGTCAGGCGACGGAACATTGGCAATTTTGGACTGAAAGTAGCCAAATCGTGGAACGAAGGAAAATCAACAAAAAGGGTTCGCCAGAGTCGTGAAATTAAATTAAACCTAAATCAATAGCCAACTCAAATTAATTATTGATAAAACTATAAAAATTCAAACTTGCTCTTCAAGGAAAATTATCTTCGGACGAGAGCTGAAGAGATGTAAGGAATATTGGACTCAGCCAGCGTGGGGGTACAGCCAACGCCGAAAATTGGAGTCTGCCTTCCGCAGTCGACGAAACTATAACTACAAGTAGAAAAGAATTGGAATCAACATTTTCTTTACGGAATTCACGTGAATGTTCTCGAAGTGGAACCACAGCACAATTCCAAATGGCTCGGCTAACTCAGCTCGGCTTAGATGGCCAAATGGCTTGTGAACAGTAACACAAAAAGTGCCTCTTTTATATGTAGTTAGATATATGACAGAAACAAATTTTTAAAAGCTGATATGGTAAGTTTAGGCAAGGCCAATTCTGTGTTTGTCGGGATCTGAGGCAAAGTTCAAAAATTAGGCTCCTTCAAAATCAACGTAAATGCAAAATTTAACGATATATTATACAAACTATTGCAAACTTAAAACTTAATATTAGAACAACAAACAAATATCTCAATCATCTCACAATTAATGAAAAAACTTTTTTTTTCTTTTCCTTCTTCTAATATTTAAAAAAAAAAAAAAACTTTGGGGCCAAAATAGGCCCCCTATAGTCTTGGGCCTGAGGCACAGACCTTATTTGCCTGGCCACAGGATCGGCTCTGAGTTTAGGTTGGATCAACATAGGAAAGGAACACAAAAATGAGTATGTCATGGAAACATCTTCGTCAACAAGGACACGTCTTCGTATGGTCCATATCCATTTTTAATTGATCGACTTGATTAACCGTGTGATTAGATAGCGTTTAAATGGTTAAACTCTATAATTCATTTTCTTTCGGTGATTTCTCTGACTCTTATGCCATTTATTAAGATCCCGTTTGTTTTCCATTTTTTTCTCATGAAAATGAAAAATATGACTGTTATCCATCACATTAAATTACTAAATTTGAATTTCTATCTTTTGTGTAGAGTCCATAACGACTATATTTTTCATTCTCATTTTTACAAAAATGAGAAACAAACGCCCCCTAAATGTCAATCAATGGATCACAAGCGAGATTATAAGATGTATGTTTAGGCATCGTTTGGGAGGAATTTTGAGAATTAATTTTTTGACCATTAGAAGAAAAGTGGGGTTCACATGTGATAGGAGAAGTCAAAAATTACGGTTGAAATAGTGAAATAACGGTCAAAAAATCAATTTTTTGGAGTAAATATCCCTCCAAAACAGGCTCTTAATATGAAGAACCGAGGCCCTGTTTGAACACAATTATTTCCTCATTAAAATAAAAAATATGACTGTTATACATAACATCAAATCACTATATTTAATTTTTTATCTTTTGTGTCGGGTCCATAACGACTATATTTTTCATTCTCATTTTTATAATAATATGGCTCG